TTTCCTCTCTGTTGAAGACAAACATGTTTTTAGTGAAGGCGGGACATGGGACAAGAAAGAGCTGGAAAAAAACTCCAAAATTCTGCTTCTCATTCATTTTAGCAGCCACTTTCATTCTCTGAAAACTGAAAAGAACAAGGCGGTTTAGCAGGTAAGGAGAGAGGTTTCCAAATGTGATTTAACTATTTCAAGATAATAGCTATGTTATGGTTATTGTTTATTATCCAAGACAGACTTTTTTCAATAAGCAGTTAGCCATGTGCCCTTTAGTTTTAATTAATTTATTTCTTCCTTAATCACAGCATTGACTCTTGCCGATGCATGGTTGTTACTTTGCCCAGATGTGTTACTGCTATTGATCTAGGAACTACCGTTGCCTGTGAGCACATAATTTGAGACAATACATAAATACGGCTCCTTCTTTAGAGTGCAGATGACTGCATTCCTATTTAAGAGTGCAGCACTCGTTTTAGATGGTTTATATGATAATTAAATGTTCGCCTAATGTAATATTTAAATCATGGATTATCTTTGCACACAGCTGTAGTTCATAGTTGTTTGTGAATACTGTATATGAGCCCTTTGGTGTTGGTGCTTTATACTTAATGCTGTTTACAGCACTGTGGCTTCTTGTTAATCATTACTTTGGATAGACCAATCAAATTATTGTCACATAAAGCATTTAGTCAGTTCTCATGTAACGATTATGTTACTGCGGCTGAGGTTTAAGGAGACTACATTCATGTATTTCACACATTCTCAGAACAATACAAAGGGTAACCCATTTAGTAATAAACAATGATAATATCCCTTGAAAATTTGACAGTGGAATGCATTTCAAAATCTATTTCAGCAATGGCAAGGCATGGATTTTGTAATAATGCTGCCTTTTAATGGACTTTTTGTAGTAATATGTATGGCTCACGTTGCAACTAGAGCTCATCTACTGTACCTGTGTTTCATGCTCCAGGAATATATATCAGGGCATAAAGGTATGTTCACTGGGGAGGCAGATGTTGAATAATAATGTGGTTTACCAAACCATGCTGACATCTTGCACCACATCTGTTATGTGTGGAGCAGGCAGATGGTGTCCTTGACTAGAATGGTAATTGAAGAGGTTACAGCGTAATAGCTTTCTACTATACATAAAGTAATGTTCCTTAAATTGAAATTTTAAGATAGAAGAGTCTATTTGACTTGTAGTTGGAGTGTTCAACTGTGCTGTTTTATCTGACTGAAGTGCTGGTAGGTCTTTGGGTTGCATTTATTAATTGTGAGGTTTAGGTTTAAGTAACATTTGAGATTTTTCAAGATTTTTCTTTTCCTTCCCCATCAAAAATATATTTTTGATCATGGTTTAAATGGAAATCTTCATTGTATATTGTCTTAATTCAATTAGACAGATTTTATTTCTGGTGATATCTATCTATCTATCTATCTATCTATCTATCTATCTATCTATCTATCTATCTATCTATCTATCTATCTATCTATCTATCTATCTATCTATATATATATATATATATATATATATATATATATATATATATATATATATATATATATATATATATATATATATATATACATACAAACAACCCTTGGTTACAGATTTATCACCTCATAAGTAGTTCAAGCTTAATTACACAGGATGACATGTCCATCAGCAGCCTATTTGAATTTCTACCTCAGATTGTCATTTTGTTTTATCTCTGGACATGAATGATCTCCTTAGGTTTGTAGACAGTTTTTAATTAGCCATGGCTTTTATCTAGACTTGCCAAACAAGGGAAACCTCTAGAAGTTGCAGGGCTTTATGGGACTAATATGGCAACACTGATACAGGGCTTTTGAATGTTAAATCAGGAGTTAGTGACGTTAAAGGTTCAAATAAATGTAATGTGTTATGATAATGGGTGGTTCCGGCTAAAATTGTCGCTGTAATACTTGATTAAATTAATAAATTTCACAATTATTACTCAAACTTGTTATCACCTACATTTCGAAATATGATTAAACAGCTATAAAAAATTTAAATTGGATACTAAGTAATTTTACATTCATTTTAAAACTGTTATATTTGAACTATTTGCCACATTCTTTCAAAGTTTATCATATCTGTTTTATTATAAATCTAAACAATGCAATAATAGCCACTCAATATGATCCTGTTGAAAAAGTTAGTTCTTTTGGGATTTGAACTTAAATCTAGCCCTTCTGCTTGAGTAAGAGGATCAAGCAATACACATTACCCAAGCTGAACTCCTGCAGCTATTTGCTGATGTAACCTATTTTGTTTAGTAACTTACAGTATTTGATTAAAAAACTTTAATATGAACACCTTTAAACTATTTGTATGAAATGTAACAATGCCACATTTTTTACATGAAAGGCTTATGCTCTTTTTAATCTTTTAAAACCTGGTCCATGAAATAATTCACAGAAAATTCTAATTGTTTATAATTTGAGATGTTATTGGACTTTCTGAGAAATGAAATAAAAATACATAACATTTATTAGTTTGCGTTAGATCCTTTATTTGCACTAATTTTGATACATTTGGCATTTCTGTGCAATGTTATACATTTTCTGTTCACTACATTGGTCTGAATATGTAAGTCAGGGTTTTCAAGAATGAAAATATCACACTGATGCAGAGGTCTCAAAAACTCATGTAATAAATATGATGCACTTGGCTTTAAAGGGGTTAATCTTTTAATTAAGATATATTTCCCTGTGTTAAGTGAACTGTGCACAGTGTTCTCTTTGCTTCTCACTTTGAAGCTGAGAGTCCATGTTTTGCACAATAGTGTAATAAGTTAAAACTGTGGATAAATGTCAAAAAGAGACAGTTTTCTGATGCTCTGCCTAAAAGAGGCAGCTTATTGACTGTGAATGTTTATCAGGGTGTAGTCTTTTACTTGTAAATGCTGAGGCTTTCAAGAAAGGGACTGAAAGAGAATATCTTTTCTGCACGGCTACCTCACATTAAGATGTTTTCCCCACGGGACTTTGTTTGATGTGTGACAGGCAGACTGCATAAATATGTGCTGGAGTGGAATTCATTACTCTTTTCTCTGTGATGGTATAAGTTTATGTCTGTGTTTTTTGAAAGAGACCATTGCAACAAGTTTTCTGTTTTTGAATTAGCAGACATGCACCCACAGAGACTCCAATCCCAGTTTACGTAAGAATCACATTATAGGTAACCAGCCGATGCTGATATCTTCTGATTCCGACACATTAAAATCATGCTGCAGAGCTGCTAAATCAGTAAACAGATTGCTGAGACAAAGGACGATAGGAAGGGTGGGGCCACAATTGGCTTCAGAATGTGACAAGGCTTGAAATGGCTCAGTCTTCAATATTTTTTGATTTAATGGATGTGCAAATAATGAAATATCCTGATAAAGCTGCTATAACAAGTATTTTTGTTATGGTTGCATCTTTACTGTTTGTTTGCACCCCATTGTTTGAGAGCATCCTTTTTACATGTTTTCTTTGACACTGGCCTGACTTAAGAACAGGTCCCAGAGTTTAATGGTTTGACAATATCCTAGCCTCTGCTGTTGTGTTAACATTAAAAATTGAATCTTTCTCGTAGGGAAGCCCTAAAGGATTCGTGGTATGACTTAAATTCAGTAGATATTAATGTGCATGAGCACAACCTTTAAGCTGCAAACCATTTTAAAGCCCACAGAGGACTGAGATTTCAAAAACAACAATGGCAGAATGCAGGGTATGAGGTGACTCATTTGACCCTGACAAAGGTGCGCCAACAAAATAATCCTTTTCTCTCCTATTTCCTAACCAGGAAGTGTTTTTCCATGTTGTGAGTTTTACAGAACATACTGTTGACTAATGGCATGGGGGAGAATCGCACCATTTTTATCTGTCTGTTATATAGAGATTGTAATAAAAATGAAATGTAGATGAAGTAACAGTTGATTCTTTGCTGATACATAATTTATTCTTATTGACATAACTTTCACTGCTCTGTTTACAAGCCACATAAAAAATGTATATTGTATTTTCTTTTATTTAACATTATGACACTTCTTAATACATTGATGTTGCAAAGCAATCTGACAATGTATGTATTTTAAATTAATATTCAGATTTTGTTTACTCTACATGACTAGAAATGTTTTGGCAGATACCCTTAATATCCATAACACAATCTGCAAAAAATAACCTCCAGCAAATCAAACAGTTGTCATGTTTGCAATAGGACTCATATTCACATAAAGCCAGAGCTTGAGAGGTTAAATGAAGGATAAGATAAAAAAATAAAGGGTAGAAAACTAGCTCAGCACAGAAACATGGGGAGACTGAGGGGAAAAAAATAATTTACATGAATAGAGCTGATGAGAAACACAAACTAAAACAAAAAAAAAGATCTAACATAAACTACGGTAATTTAGATTATACTGGGAATAGATGACAAGAAATGAGAGTAGAACAAGCTGAAAGGTATAAACGATGGAAAAAAACTGATAACCAAGGATCATGACAACCATGTTTTCATATCGATTGCTCTGTACTCAAACCAGCAGTAACATATTCATGCTAAGGGTTTCTTCATTCTACATATATACACACCTGCACAAGTTAAAATCTTAATTCATGTTGCTTGCTCTTAGGTTTTTCTTTTAGTCACTTCTTAAACAGGAAGCCCTTTACTTTGTTATGGTGTGACTTCATCATCCAGGCTCCATAATACTTTACCTCCTCCAAGCAGCAGGAGCAGTCAGTCACGTTCACACTCAGATATACAGAAACATTTAGCTACCTACACATAACAGAAGTACAGTGGTCTATGGAAGGACCAGAGAGTTATTCTCTGTAAAATTCAAGAATATCTGTGTTTGACGAAGAGTGTGCAGTGTGTGTTAATGTATGCACAGGAAAGACAGGCAGAGAGAGAGAGAGAGAGAGGGAGGGAGGAAGGGAAAAAGAAGAGGCAAAGGGGAGGGAGGGTAGATCATGCATGTGCATTATCTTAGCTCCAGCTGCACAGCAGCAGCAAGAAGAAACAGCAGCAGCACAGGAGGGAAGGAGAGAAAGAAAAAAGCAGGAGGGAGACTTTGAGGGAGGGTTATAGTCTCAGGCAAAGGAACAAAAGCTGCAGAGAGCAGCTTTCCATCCTTGCAAAAAAATAACAACGGCGGTGCTTTACAAGGAGGAGGTGGACATGATAGTAGTGAGACTGTAACGGAACAGAAGAAGCTCACTGTAATCAGAGCAAACTGAAAGCAAGGCTCTTCTCTTCTTTGCTCTCCATGTTTTTTGGAACCCAGCATACCACTGCCTGCATCTCCAAACCCAGAAGAGGAGGAGGATGTCTGTGTCAGGGAAGAAGGAGTTTGATGTGAAACAGATCCTAAGGCTCCGTTGGCGCTGGTTCAGCCATTCATCTCAAGGTTCTACTGGTAGTGGTGGCGGAGGGGGCAGTGTGGGAGGCTACATCCAGCAGGATGGCCTGGACCACAGAGGAACTCCCGTTCAGGGAAGGCTGAAGAGCCATTCTCGGGAAAGGGGTATTGGAGGATTACGAAAGACCAGCAGCCCCGTCCACAGCGTCATGTCCCAAACACCTGGACCAACTCCGGTCTATGCCAGGACAGGTCATCAATCTTGGCATCATCAGTCAAACAACATCCAGGGCCTCCAGGTCAACGAGGAGTCTCCAAAGAGCATTTCCTCTTCCAACGCAATGAGGAAAGAGCAAACAAAATCTGGCCAGGAAGATGTGATAAACAGCACAGAGGAACCTGCAGAGGTGGAAATCAGAGACAGGTATGGCTACTGATCGTTATAGTTACTGGTAGATAGTTACTGGTATTCCTTCCTTATCCATTCATAATATAAATGATAATAAAGAAAGAACTGATTATGGTATACTTTTATTTACTTTCCACTGTAAAATAGCAGATTAGCTTACAGATAAACATTAATTAAAGGAAACAAGTATTATCCTAAGGAAACATCTTGTGATGAAAAATATGATGATGTTTCTTAATTGGGGATGCGGACAGAATTTCTCTAATCAGCAAAGACGCTTGAACAGTTAAATTTGGTTATTTTCTTAGTCTAATCATAAACAGTGCTTTATCAGCTGTTTTATAAAGTTTAAGTGATAAACATGATTAAGAGCCTTCCAATTAGCTAAATCAAAACTACCCGCTCAACTATTTATTCAGTTTGCTTTTGCTAGTCTGCTACCATCATGTCTCACCTGAGAACAGCTCATCTTCATGGGCAACAGTGTGTTAGGCAGGGTAAACCAATAGAGAACCTTTTTAATTATTCATTGAACTAAAAGCTGGGGCCTTCACTGCTTCCTTCTTTTTAATATTGTGGTCTAGATCACACACTATTTGCTCCTTCATTTTATTCCTCAAAGCACTTCATTTTTTTATATGCCACACTAATGCTTTTTCCCCCTTTGAGTTAAAAGAGGATAGCGGGAAAGATTCATTGCATCATGTATCATCTCTCAAACCTATAAAAAGAGGCGGTTGTAAAATCACATGAATTATCCAGAGAGTCAGCCACAACTAAGTCCTTTTAGTGTTGAGAGCTAATACAGCATCAGACTAAATTCCTCCCGCAAAACCAGATTTTCAGTGAAAAAATCTCTTCTTTTGCCTTCAAATGCTTCACTTCATCCATACCTTTGCTTTTGATTCTACATGTTCTTCCAGGAAGTAAACAGGTTAGAAACGTACGTGTGTCAGCCTGTTTGCTTGCACACTGTCTTGCAGAACGCCAGGAGCAGCTGACACTAAAGATGAAAAGACAAACTCTCCTTTTATCTTGCCTATGACATTCTGAGGTGATTGGTCCTTAAGCTCTGCTGATTCCTATGTGCCTTTGTTCTGTGCACCTGGCAAAGAAATGAACAATGATGGTAAACCTATCCCTTTGTTTTAGATAGAGCTCATTGTGTGTGTTTCAGAATGCGTAGTGTCTAGCTCTACAGTGAAATAGTGTCAGTGTGGATTGAGTGAATGCCACAGGCAGTGGATGGCTGCGCTCCCTGAACTGAGCATGAATTATTCCGAGTTAAGATATGGCTTTAAAATCAAGTCCACATTCTTCTCTTCATGTTGGCATAATTGGCAGATGTTCATGTTTTGGAGTCCCTGTGTGTAAAAAGTGCATGCATAAAAGATGTGCCTCGCAGTGAAACTGTGTAGCTCTCAGGCTCCTAGGATCGTTAAGTTCATGTTGGCCGGCGTATTCTGGTAACAATACTGAATTATTGAAATATTTGTTGAATTGTAAAATCTATCCTCGGGCATTTGGGAGATGTATTCTCTACAACACAGATATCAATTTTCTTACTAAACAGTGTTAGGCTTCTTAATTGCCAAACACAGAATCAATTTATTTCTCATTTGATCACGGTCAGTGAAAGAATAACTCGACCACCCTTTTTGTAGGAGGTGTCTGTTGTATTTCTCATGCAATACAACAGGAGAACTTGAAGAAAATGAGAGTGGTCTGATAATTTTAGAAGTATACTGTATTTGTTTAATCAGGATGTCTGGGATTTAAAGTGATCTCAATAAAAGAGCTGTTATAATGCCAGGTTTCTGCAAGGTGCAAATTAGCCCATCCTTGTATAATAAATCTCAATAATAACAATTCTGTTACAGAGACAAAAAGTTGCAATACTCTGGTTGCAAAAGTGAACACAAAACCATTCATCCCTCTTCAGCGTTTCAACATTTAATGTTCTTGTCTATGCACCTAACATCAATTATAGTGTCATTATTAATGATTAATAAACTTCAGCTATTTTTTATAGGATTTAAGACTATTGCTGGTTTGTATCTATCCAAAAGCAGGGTTTTGCATAGAGGTTGGCAAATCAAAATCCTTTTGTTGAATATACCATTCTGTTTTCCACTTTTGACTCAAAACCTTCAGTTGTCTGTTAGAAAACTGAGATGCAAACTGTGAATATTTTTCAGTTTCCAAACCTATCTCCAAATAAACAATGGAATGACAAAATCTACATAAAAAGGTTTGGGGATGGACCAGACAGGGTTCAAAACAAACATTCTAAATGTGACCTTTAAAGCAAGCTTTTACACAGTAAATTAGATTTACACGATTTCTGGAAAACAGAGTTAGAAAAGCATTAAGTTAGGATGTGAAAGACTGACAACTCCCACTAAAAGAATACTGAATGTTGACATCACTTTAAAAGATTTTTCAACAAAGCTTTAGTTTTTCCTCCAATTGAATTTGTTTGCTTGGTTAAACGCTAGAGGATATCTGTCACAGTAATGATATTTTCATATGATCTAACTTTATTTTTCCTACAAGGAAACTAGCTTTTGGACCAGCCAGAACGATCAATTAAAATGAAAAAAGTCACTTCACCAATAGCTTTGCATTACCTCCATTACTTTTTATTCCTGATCACACCTCATTGAAACTGTATCTTTGGTTTAAGCTCTTCATGTTGTGATGTACAACTAAAGCCCAAATTAGACCAGTGACAGTGTGACACATCATGGCTCATGCATTCATCTGTAGCTAAGCAGATGTTGATGGCACTGAGATATGTACATTTATTTACCTCACCAGCTGGGTGGCCCTATTACGTCTCACATCATAAATCCCTGACACGTAATTTGTCACATTCTCTCGGGCTGAAACTAGAGAACGCTTCTATTTCTTGTCAGAGAGAGAGAGAGAGAAAAAGAAATTTCAGCTTTAGTTTAAAAATGTGCCAGTCATTTTTCGGTGCCTCTCAGTAATTAGTTAAATTTATGCAACTGATATAAATAGGCCATCCAATCAATGATTTAATTTTTTTAATCATTCTGGCTTCCTGCTTTCAATGTTTCAAACCGCTGTCAAGCTGAATTAACTGATAACATCTTTAAGGATCCTATTGGATATGAACGTAATAATAGTTCATATAATAATAATAGATCCAGCTTTAAATGCAGAATTTAGTTTGATGATAAAGTTAAACGTTATCTAAAAAAAATACATAAATAAATATCTTCTGTGTTTTCCGTGTATTTGATATTAATAAATTTTTTAAAGGACATCATGACAGTTGAGGGGTTATGAACTTGAACTTTTAATTTTTTTTCACATTTTGTCAATTTATTACAATATATGGGTATTTAACTGACTGATCAATGCTAGGTTTGATTAAAAAATGTGTAGCATATATTTATAATCACACCTCCTGTGACAGTGCTGAGTTAAACAACCATTCTTCCTAATTAAAGTTACAAATCTTTTTTAAAATGTCTCCGTTTACTTTGCTTATTATAAATTATACTATTTATACTGTCTATCTCTATCTATCGATCTATCGATCTATCGATCTATCTATCTATCTATCTATCTATCTATCTATCTATCTATCTATCTATCTATCTATCTATCTATCTATCTATCTATCTATCTATCTATCTATCTATCTATCTATCTATCTATCTATCTATCTATCTATCTATCTATCTATCTATCTATCTATCTAGCTATCTATATCTATCTATCACCACTGATGCCTTGACCTTTCAGGTTTTCTCCTGCTGTCTCTGAGCCCCTGGTATTTCTCTAGTTGTAGTCTCTTGGTATTGCTATGTCAACCACAATGGCCACAACAGCATTCCTCTGCTTTTTGTCCACCACCACAATGTCCGGTTGGTTTTCCATTACCATTCTTCTCGAAGTCCCACAGGATCTTGGCTTTCTCGATGATCAAAAAAAAAAAAAAAAAAAAAAAAAAAAAAATATATATATATATATATATATATATATATATATGTATATATATATATATATATGAAATGTTTTGTTAAGTCTGCTTTTGCTTTACAGTTTTGATGTCTTTACTGTATATCTACAATGTAGAAAGTAATACAAATTAGGAAAGGCCATTGAATGGTAGTGTATATTTCTTAATCTTTGTTGTACCCTTATGACTATCATCCAAATAACCTCTATGTGGTGCTTGATAGAGAATATATGACCAAAGTTAACCTCAGCGGAATAGAAACCCTGACCTCTTGCACATAAACACTAATAGAGACTTGAGTCAGCATGCTGTTAGTTTGAATGATATCTCAATTCCCACTCTGCCTTAGAAAAAGAAATACTATCACCACTGTTCTTGTCACCAATAGTAATTCAGGTGTTTGTCGAATGATCAGAACATTGCAAGACTCAAATGGTTTACATGGGACACATCCAGTAGACACAGTAGAATGTTAGTTTTATTTCATCGGTTCTAATCTAAAATGGTATTTCCACAAGCAGTATTTTTTTTCTGAGATGGCATACAGGAGAGCTAAATATCAGGAAAAATTGTCAAACTACTTTTCTTTTACCTTTGTAAACACTAAGCATTAAAGTTTGATTCAAAGAGATGCAACCACATCCATCAGATTTGTACTCAATCAGTGTCTTTCAAAATGTAAACTAATTTAAAGGTCATAATCCGTGACACATCTTTCTATTAATTTATTAGAAGGAGCCATGACTTTTTTTAAACAATAATGCCAGATGGCCAGGATGAGGATCTAAAACAGAACATTAGAGAGCAGAATAAAAATATGGCTATATCTTTAACAGTGACAAGAAAAGAGCCATTTGGTTTATTGTGGTGTGGATATTTTAATTCCCGTGTTAGAAATATCAGAATAAACAACGTTATATATCTGATTTCTGGGGTACTAAATAATAAAAACCTAAAATGTTAAACAAGCTAGTTAAAAACTATTTTGGTTTTTAGAAAAAAAGATAGTGATGCTTTACCCTAAAGACAACGAAGGGTCTAAAAACCAGTAAACATAGCGTCCTTGGTGATTAAAGAGTTACATATGTCAATAACAGATCTTTTTGTATCATGATCATGCAATTAGAATTTGGATACAACTAATGAATGTTTATAATTTGATATAATTTTAAACATTAAATGTATTCAAATCAGACATTAACCATTCCATTGAAAAAAATTGCTTTAGCCTTCAAGTTTCTTTCCTTCTATCTAGGAAAAGAGCTGATTATGAGATGTTGTTTCTGTTTCCTTTTCACTGGAAAATAACTTACAGATAAACCGGAATTATAGGAAACAAGTATAAACCATTATCAATGGCCTCATCCATTGATAATGAACTTCATGTTTCTTATTTGCTAATGAGGACATATTTTCTTTAAACAGTAATGATGCTGAAAGTATTAAATTCAGTCATTTTCTTAATTAAATCATAAAAACCCTTTACCTACTGCTTTATGAAGTTTAAGTGATAAACATTAAGAGCCTTTTAATTAGCTAAATATAATTACCTACTCAACCATTTTTTCAATTTGCCTTATTTAGTCTACTACCATCATGGCTCACCTCATAACAGTTTATTCCCATTGTCAGTTTTCATTTTTTACTCCTGAATTTCCTTGATGAAGGAAACAGTTTTAGCCTTCATGTTTCCTTTTTTTTTCATGAAATATACTTTTCATGTGTTATTTTGTACCTTCTTATATATAAAAAAAAACATTATTAACAATCTGTCTAAAACATAGATAGCCCTAATAAAAGCTTTCAAATGGCAGCATGGTGGCACCGTTTGTAGTCCCAATGTCTTGTATCAAGCTCCTTGGTTCAGGTTATGGCCTGAGGTCCTTTTGCATGAAGCATGCATGTTCATCCAGTGCATGCATGGGTTCTTTCTGGATACTCTCCATAGAATGCCCATAGAATGCTGGAGACAGACAAAAGTTTCTATGACCTTCTTTAGAAGGATGGATGAATAAGCTTTCAAATACTAAACCAAGCTTTCTAAAATACATATTCATATATATCTGCATGCAGAACTAAAAAATTGCATATCAATATGCTTATGCACTAACTTTGACAGTCTAATGGTAATGACAGCTCATTCTCTATGCAAGTTAACCTGCCAGTAGCAAGGAACTTTCTGCTAAGATCTGCAATTTTTTTTCTTTACAGAACGCCTCCAAACCCCGAGCGCACACATTAAGGGGTCCGTCTGTCTTTGTGAAGACACTCATCAACATAATGTATTCCCTAGCTACAAACCCCTAACCTGCAAAAATCTTAGGAAAGAAAATATAGATAGATAGAAATAAATAAAGAAAGAAAGAAAGAAAAATGTATTTCTTTTGATATCTCAGGTTGTACGTTAATAGTCTAATTCTAAATCCATTTACTGAGAAAAATGAATGATGTGTATATATAAATATGCAGAGTGCAAAATCCTTTATCTGAGTCTTACTCCCCAGATCAAGTTGGTATGTCTCTCAAGGCAAAGCCCAGTGGCAGAACAGTGACTGTCAAAGAACAGAGGCTGAAAGATCTCATGAAAGAGACAGACTTGGCACAAGATGCAAGAAGTTCTTTAGGAATTTTTGGATTCTCAAACCAGTTGAAGCTGCTTAGCAGGCTTCAGGGGAAAAAAGCTGTTGTAATCCATTTTGAAAGATACATTTCCCATTTGGCCTTGCCAGGCACGACTTTCCCTGATGTAGAAGGATGGAGCTGGTACATGACTGGGATTTTTAGCAACGGCTTCAACATTTACAGCAGTCATGGCTTTAAAAGGAACATATTAGATCATAAAACCAACAAGGTCTCAATTCACTGTTATGTTTTTTTCCTTTGCTTTGGATTTATTTAAATCTTGTGGTAGAATTAGCATATGCTGATTTTGCCAAGCATTGTTTAAAAAGCCTTCTCATCTTCGGAAAGTGTAAAATACTGCACAGCATCTTCCTCACTTGCATCGCCTCAGATAAGCAGCATCTCAGCACTTCAGCATCTCTGTGGAAATTAGTTTCATTGAGGTGAGAAATCTCTAAAAGGTGTGGAGACCAAATGACAGGTTTTCAGGTGACATTCGCTGTTTGAATAAAATCTGCTCTTAGATAATGTGTGATAAAAAAGCAAGTGTTCTATTTGGTTTATATTATTCAGATCTATTAATTTACCCCTTTTTGCTAATAAATAGAAAGTAAACTTTTTATGGGTTCTCATCTTTCCTGGGAATTGCTTAGTAATATGGTTATGTTCTTGAGAAACACTGTCCCCACAGCAGTTACTCTTTTGCAAGTTGTTTCGAGGTTTTAGTACCTTAATAAAATTGGGCTATACCTCTGATGAGCAGCCCACTACTAGGAGCACAATATACACCTCGGCGCAAATTTACGGCTCCCCTGAATGTGGTACCGAAGCAATTAGTGTCGGAGAGATTGGTAGGCATGAAAAACCCTTACAGCATGCCTTGGAGCCAATAGAAAAGCAATGGATCTCAGTTTTATGGCCCTATTGCTTATTCAGTCTTGTTTGGTGTTCCTTTGCGAGACTCCAGAGTCAGTGGGGAATACACAGACAGGCCGATAAATTATTTTTGGATTTAGCATAAAGCCACTGAATAAAGATTAGACTATAGGATACTGCAATGACTGTAGAACAAGATTAAACATTCCCATGGGACAATATCATTGCCTTTAGTAAACAAACAAAAAAAATGTTTGATGTTTGGTGAAAAACTTTTAGACAGCATGTTAAACAGGGCATCAATAAGAGCCATTACCCGCTCCATCTTTGCTGCCTTATAAATCTGTGAGTGTGCCAATACATTTTGCTGCCAAGCATCACACTATGGATTTGCGGTTTATTTGTATTGACAAATCAGTAATTTAACCACTTAAAGCATTTTTCATATCAGAGCATGAGTGATATAAATACTGGTGCAATTTGCTGCTTAAATAGTTACACTTCATTTTTTTTCCCCTTTGGCAGTATCTATCCGTGAATAGCAGAACTCCTGTGACATAAATACTCCATGAGAGACAGCTTGTTTGGTTATGTAGTTTAGCAAACAACCTGAAATGTCAATGAACACACTTTCTCTGTGAAGGACACCAGAGTGACGGGGTTGGATTATTTTCCATGAGTGTGAGGGATTACTCAGATTTCTGCAAAACAGCGTGTAATCTAGCAGCCTTTGGGGACTGAGGCTTTCAGCCTTGCCATAATGCTGCATGAAACAGACTGGTTTATTTGTTAAGACGCTGTTTTCCGTGGGAGAGGCAGATGCATACAAAAATGTTGCAGATGTACGTGGGAATGACAAATATATATATATTTTATTCTGTCAGGTTGCTTGTGCAAATATAATGCAGTTATCTTCTTATTGGAAGATACACTTAGCTATCTGCTCATGTACAGAGTTTATACATAACAGATTTAGTTTCAGCTTAGTGTGGCAAGAAAGACAGACTTGTCCTGCAGGGAAAAGGATTCAAAGGTGTCACGTGCCTAATAAGCTTCTTTTTGTCTTATCTAAATGTGTACAGCTACCGGCTCCTTGTTTATACTCAGCTTGAAATTACAAATGTATTTATTATTTCTCTTTTTTCTAATGTCTATTCATATCAATATTCTATCTTCTTGGTTTTTCCCTACATTTAACCCAATTTCAGAAAAAAAAAACTAGCAAGTCTGGTGTGATGAATGTCTGTCTCGTTTCTGTCTCGTTCTCCACAGGTTGGTTCTGAGCAATTTGTCCAGAATGACCACCAACTCCTCCGACGAATTTTTCCAGGCCACAAATCATGCAGAGCAGACGTTCCGTAAAATGGAGACCTACCTCCAGCACAAGCAGCTGTGTGACGTCCTGTTGATAGCAGGAGATCACAAGATACCGGCTCATAGGTTGGTGTTTGTGCCTCTGCCTGCTTTCATTTCATTAATTAGTCTTGCATCTCCAATAGATTAGAGGTGAATCAGTCCTGTCTGTGAGGTTCATTAAATTAGTGGCTGAGGCGTTAAGGCTTTGATTTGGATCTTGGATTGCAACACATTTAGTAATTCCAAGGATTAACTCAATGAGTTTGAAATGGCATGCATATATAAATAATGTATAAATACACCGATCAAAGGCTAACTTTAGAATTTATGCCTGTAAATAATCATTTTAACCCCTTATTTTCATTTATCCGCTTTGACGAATGGCATAATGATTCATTTTGCAGGAAGGGGATACTTGGTATGGTGTGTTCACTTGGAAAATAAATAGCCAGTTTTAATCAGTTCTAATCAACCACCTGATTTTTGTGGTGGATACTTACCTAACTAACATGTAAACTACATGTTCAAAGGCTTGTCTTAACATCTATATGCTGCTCTGATCTGAGTACGACTTCTGCCAATTGATGTTTGGTCTGGTGCAAAGGAAAACTATGTTCGACTCCACAGGATTGTCAATATTTGTCCAGTGGGTCCAAGTCGGCTGGCTGCATTTGTAGTAACTGAAGTGAACAGATCATATGCCCCCTGAATGGTAAAGACCTCTCCCTGAGCGGATTAGCCTAAATGCCAAATTATATTTTGAATGCTCATCCAGTCAAAAACAGCCTCCTCTGCTACTTATTTTCAGCATCAGTTCACTTTTTTTGCGCTCAAGGCATCATAAATGTCAAGATACAATTTAGGAATCAAAAACATTTTTGCCAGAGGCTACAGTTTATTGAAATGTCATCTAAACTTTCAAACTGATTTTAATGAAAATGTATGGACATAAAGGTCTTGCTGTCAATATGAATACAGCACTTTACAAACTTGCTCTTACCACTTTTTTTTTTTCCCTTTTGCCACATTACAACCACAGACTACTTTTATTGGGATTTTATGTAATAGAACAGCACCACAAATTGCATAATTCTAAAATGGATTCAAAGGGATACATGTTTAAAAAAAAATTGGAAAACTTTTGGGTTTAACTTTTTTTTATCTCGACATTCAGTAATTCAAAGAACCATCTTTAGCTGCATTTAAATATACATGTGTTTCGATGTGTGTCTCTAAGAGCAAAACACCTCAGGTTAAGTCAGGCAGGATATAGAGCAACTGTCAAAGGGATTTCTTTTCAAGTCTAGCCATAAATTCAAAATCGGATATAAAGTGGCCTTTGGATTATATTTACAGGTGCTGGTCATAAAATTAGAATATCATGAAAAAGTAGATTGATTTCAGTAATTCCATTTAAAAAGTGAAACTTGTATATTATATTCATACATTACATACAAACTCATATATTTCAGATGTTTATTTTGTTTAATTTTGATGATTACAAATGACAACAAATGAAAATCTCAAATTCATCATATCAGAAAATTAGAATATTACTGAAGACCAATAAAAACAAAGGATTTATAGAAATGTTGGCCAACTGAAAAGTATGAACATGAAAAGTATGAGCATGTACAGCACTCAGTATTTAGTTGGGCCTCCTTTGGCCTGTATTACTGCAGCAATGCGGCGTGGCATGGAGTCGATCAGTCTGTGGCACTGCTCAGGTGTTATGATAGCCCAGGTTGCTCTAATAGTGGCTTTTAGCTCTTCTGAATTGTTGGGTCTGGTGTATTGCATCTTCTTCTTCACAATACCCCATAGATTTTCTATGGGGTTAAGGTCAGGAGAGTTTGCTGGCCAATTAAGAACAGGGATACCATGGTCCTTCAACCAGGTACTGGTAGCTTTGGCACTGTGTGCAGGTGCCAAGTCCTGTTGGAAAATGAAATCTGCATCTCCAAAAAGTTGGTCAGCTGCAGGAAGCATGAAGTGCTCTAAAACTTCCTGGTATGTGGCTGCGTTGACCCTGGACCTCAGAAAACACAATGGACCAACACCAGCAGATGACATGGCACCCCAAACCATCACTGACTGTGGAAACTTTACACTGGACTTCAAGCAACGTGGATGAAGTGCCTCTCTTCTTTTCCTCCAGACTCTGGGACCTTGATTTCCAAAGGAAATGCAAAATTTACTTTCATCAGAGAACATGACTTTGGACCACTCACCAGCAGTCCAGTCCTGTTTCTCTTTAGCCCAGGCAAGACGCTTCTGACGCTGTCTGTGGTTCAAGAGTGGCTTGACACAAGGAATGCGACAGCAGAAACCCATGTCTTTCATACGTCTGTGTGTGGTGGTTCTTGAAGCACTCACTCCAGCTGCAGTCCACTCTTTGTGAATCTCCCCCACATTTTTGAATGGGTTTTGTTTCACAATCCTCTCCAGGGTGCGGTTATCTCTCTTGGTTGTACACTTTTTTCGACCACATCTTTTCCTTCCCTTCGCCTCTCTATTAATGTGCTTGGACACTGAGCTCTGTGAACAGCCAGCCTCTTTAGCGATGACCTTTTGTGTCTTGCCCTCCTTGTGCAAGGTGTCGATGGTCGTCTTTTGGACAACTGTCAAGTCAGCAGTCTTCCCCATGATTGTGTAGCCTATAGAACTAGACTGAAAGACCATTTAAAGGCTTTTGCAGGTGGTTTGAGTTAATTAGCTGATTAGAGTGTGGCACCAGGGGCCATCAATTTTGAACCTTTTCACAATATTCTAATTTTCTGATATGATGAATTTGAGATTTTCATTTGTTGTCATTTGTAATCATCAAAATTAAAGAAAATAAACATCTGAAATATACGAGTTTGTATGTAATGTATGAATATAATATACAAGTTTCACTTTTTAAATGGAATTACTGAAATCAATCTACTTTTTCATGATATTCTAATTTTATGACCAGCACCTGTATGTGTGAATTAAACCATTTAGTGTTTGCTCCACCTGTTTGCTTAGTGATGTATTAAACCAACTCATCTTTTCATCATTGCTGACCAGATGAAGAAAAGCATGCTACTGCTATCTGACCTTATAGGACAGTGTATCCATCCATCCATCTTCCTCCGGATAAGCGGAGGAAGATGGATGGATGGATGGATGGATGGATGGATGGATGGATGGATGGATGGTTGACTGGATGATTTTTCCTTTTACATGTTCACATTTTACATAAAATCCAAATTCAGTTGACTGAAGACACACACTGGTGACAAAATGTGGAAAACTTCAGCTGAATACTATTGCAATGCCTTACATCTAACTATAGAAATAAAGACCGCTGTTGGGATATTACAATGTAATCACTCATAGACAAAGTAGACTGACATAGTTAAAGGTCATGTCTTTAGTAACTTAGAAAGGCATAAAATCACCCAAGTTGCATCATCACAGCAGGACATCTCGGAGATTAGCTAGTTTTTTTTATACATTTTGAGTTTTTTATACTTTTTATATATTAGTTACTTAAGCAGCACAATATGATAAACGCAAAATATTGGCCTCCATTTACCGTATATTGGTTACAAGAAAAACGTCTTAAATGTATATCCTATCCTATTCCCATTTTATAATCATCCAGAGGAATGAATGCTGCCAGTCATTGATTCAATGCAACCTGTTGGATTTACTTAACAAGAACACTTCTTTAACATGTTTGAATGAAAAATGTAACTCAACTGCACTGTTTGATAACTAGGATCATCTCACAGTGTGATTCAATTGATCTGACTTTGTTTTACAAAGTGTACTGAAACATATTTTGTGAAATGGTACTTCATTGAATTGAAACTGACCTGACATAATCCTTTGAAAAATAGCATGCTTAATGCATTCTTTCCCCCTTAATGGCAGACTTGTCTTAAGTGCGGTTTCGGACTACTTTGCTGCTATGTTTACCAGTGATGTGAGGGAAGCAAAGCAAGAGGAGATAAAGATGGAGGGAGTGGATCCCGAGGCGCTCAGATCTCTGGTTCATTTTGCCTATACTGGTGAGTGCCTATAAAGTAGTTCACTGTTTTTTTAATTTTTTTATGAGACCTCTGTAATTCTGCATGATTGAAACAGATCAATAAGTCCATTCATCATCGGGCATACAAGTGAGAAGAATTTTAACATTAATAACATGTTATTTAACAAATCATGTGTAATATGTATAAAGTATAGTTTTTCAACAGAAAAAAAAGAAAACCAACATCACATTGCTGTGACTTGACTTAAGGTGATTGAGGAGCCAAAAGCGGATGTTTTTTATTGTTTATTTTTGGCTTTCAGAACTGCTACACAAAACACAAAGGGCCGGATTTATCAAGATCCAATTTTGCGTGCAGTAATTTGCGCTCGCAAACTGGAATTTTGCGCGAGGGGCTGAACCATGGTTTGCGGGTGATTTAACAAGAGTGATTGCGTAACTGGTGGCAGGTGCAAAACTGTTGGAGACGCCCTATTTAAATGATGGTTTTGCGCGTTTTGTGGTTTGCGGCAAAGTAGTTTGTAGTTTTATGCAAACTAGTGCTTTAAGAAATTTTAATCTTACAGTGACACCCCCACCCCCTCCAAAAAATTATATATATATATATATATATATACACTATATTGCCAAAAGTATTTGCTCACCCATCCAAATTATTGGAATCAGGTGTTCCAATCACTTCCATGGCCACAGGTGTATAAATTCAAGCACCTAGGCATGCAGACTGTTTTTACAAACATTTGTGAAAGAATGGGTCGCTCTCAGGAGCTCAGTGAATTCCAGCGTGGAACTGTGATAGGATGCCACCTGTGCAACAAATCCAGTCGTGAAATTTCCTCGCTCCTAAATATTCCACAGTCAACTGTCAGCTGTATTATAAGAAAATGGAAGTGTTTGGGAACGACAGCAACTCAGCCACGAAGAGGTAGGCCACGTAAACTGACGGAGCGGGGTCAGCGGATGCTGACGCGCATAGTGCGAAGAGGTCGCCAACTTTCTGCAGAGTCAATCACTACAGACCTCCAAACTTCATGTGGCCTTCAGATTAGCTCAAGAACAGTGCGCAGAGAGCTTCATGGAATGGGTTTCCATGGTCGAGCAGCTGCATCCAAGCCATACATCACCAAGTGCAATGCAAAGCGTCGGATGCGGTGGTGTAAAGCACGCCGCCACTGGACTCTAGAGCAGTGGAGACGCGTTCTCTGGAGTGACGAATCGCGCTTCTCCATCTGGCAATCTGATGGACGGGTCTGGGTTTGGCGGTTGCCAGGAGAACGGTACTTGTCTGACTGCATTGTGCCAAGGGTAAAGTTTGGTGGAGGGGGGATTATGGTGTGAGGTTGTTTTTCAGGAGCTGGGCTTGGCCCCTTAGTTCCAGTGAAAGGAACTCTGAATGCTTCAGCATACCAAGACATTTTGGACAATTCCATGCTCCCAACTTTGTGGGAACAGTTTGGAGCTGGCCCCTTCCTCTTCCAACATGACTGTGCACCAGTGCACAAAGCAAGGTCCATAAAGACATGGATGACAGAGTCTGGTGTGGATTAACTTGACTGGCCTGCACAGAGTCCTGACCTCAACCCGATAGAACACCTTTGGGATGAATTAGAGCGGAGACTGAGAGCCAGGCCTTCTCGTCCAACATCAGTGTGCGACCTCACAAATGCGCTTCTGGAAGAATGGTCAAAAATTCCCATAAACACACTCCTAAACCTTGTGGACAGCTTTCCCAGAAGAGTTGAAGCTGTTCTAGCTGCAAAGGGTGGACCGACGTCATATTGAACCCTATGGATTAGGAACGGGATGTCACTTAAGCTCATATGTGAGTCAAGGCAGGTGAGCAAATACTTTAGGCAATATAGTGTATATATATATATACATATATATAAACTTTGGCAACCTTTATTCCCTAAGGTGTTTTGTATTGGCCTGTAGAAAAATGCACATACCAAATGGCTCACAAGAAGTGCGTACGCCGCAGCATTGGCATCTTGCTCCACAGGCGCAGAGGTCGGGGTTCTCCGGTAGGGCGTCAGGGCGACATGGCATTTAGAACGTCGGACAGCACTTCTGAAAAACGAGATTGGGAGATCCCATATGCAAAAAAGTGCAATGTTGCAAGGAGTTTTGTGATATCTGGTATTGCGTGGGTCCTCCTTGTGGCTGGCTCCAAATCCATTCGGAGTTCCCCCAACAGCTCCAAAATGTCAATGCTGGATAAACGAAATGTTTTGATGATCGTTTCCTCGTTCATTCCAAAAAATATTCACACGGAGTGAAAAAATGCGTTCTCTGCGTCTCCTTGCTTCATTTCGATGTCTCCTTCTTGCCACAATAACCGCTGCCATGTGTGCGCAATTTCGCATACAGACCATTTGCACCTTCTTTTGAAACGTGTTAAATATAGAGTCAGATACCGTTAGCAAAATTGCTTTCAGGTTTGATAAATCACTTTGCGAGTGCTAAATTAATATATTTACATGTTCTCCTCCCACAAGACGCACTTTTGCATGTAAACGCCCCATATTGCATATTCATTGCAGAAAAAGTACTAAATGGATAAGAGGCGCTATTTAGCACATTTTAAAGACCAAATCCTTTTAGCACGCTGTTGATAGATCAGTTTGTACATTTTTTAGCGTGCGCAGTGAAATAGCTCACGTTTTTATACACGCAAACCTTTGATAGATCCGGCCCAAAGTCTGTTTTTTAACAGAAAAAATATACATTTTCTTATGTTATTTAACCAATCCTGGCACAGTTCATTTATTAGTCTTCTGCAGTATTTTCACCTTAACATTAGGTTAAAACACTTAAAAATCTTTTTTTATGGGAAATGTGTAAGATATAACTTTTGCATTGTATTGACACAATTTAGCATGCTTTTTGGAAATGTATCATTATTTCAAGTGAAAATACGTGTCAAAAACGTTAGAATCAAATAAAAAATTCTGATATTTACAAATATAAACACGACTCATCACCTTTTTATCTCAATGATCCTGCATTAATCCAGGCCAAAAACTAAACCCTTACTAAATCTCCTATTAAAATGTCAGTTCAGATTTGCAAATGTCTACAATTTCTAACTGAAAAAATTATGTTAATTCTTAAACCTTCTTCAAATTCATATCTTCTATCTATCAGCATTTCCTTTGTATTCGTATCCTTTCTATCAACATGTTTAACAGTTTAACATGTGTAAACCAGTTAGGTAATCTATTTGTAAGCTTGTCTAGATTCAAAGAAATTTGTATTATTTTAAATTGTCTTATATCCTCAAAAAATAAAACTGTATAATTGATGTGCTGCCTTAGAATACATCCAAAGATGTACATCCATTTGGGTAAAATTTTATCAAAACCTTATAAAAGCATGATTATTCAACTTGAAGTGGATGCAAACCTCTTCAGGAAATGAATTTCCTGTCATGGTTATGGTCTTTAGTAATTAAAAACATGTTTCTGATCTTAACTTATCCTAATCAGGCAGTGGAAAATCATACACGATCTGCAAATATCTGCTGAAACTGCATTTGGAATGATCAGGTTTTGTGCCTGTTGAGTTTAAAATGCTTTCACTAGTATTTTCTATTCAGAAAAGATTCTGTCATGACACAAGTATTACACTCATTTTCCACATTACAGGTGTCCTTGAGCTGAAAGAGGAGACCATTGAGAGTTTATTGGCGGCAGCATGCCTCCTCCAGCTTTCACAAGTCATCCAGGTCTGCTGCAGCTTCCTCATGAAGCAGCTTCATCCTTCCAATTGCCTTGGAATACGATCGTTTGCGGATGCCCAGGGCTGCATGGACCTGCTGAATGTGGCTCATAACTACACCATGGTAGGACAGTAAACAGAGCCGACTATCATTTATGCCTTAAAGTAAATTAATTCTTTTTTTCATAACATTCATTCCTTACTGCAGGGTTTCACGTTGACATATAAAACTGTAAAAAACATAAACCAAAGTTAAAATTAAACCAAACGTTTAGTTTATTTTTAAAATTAACTCTAGTGTCTACCACATTATTTGTGATTTTATGCACCTTTCAGTAGAAATTTCTTTTTTATTGTACATATAGATTTTGTAGTTTTTGAATATGTCTTTTTCATAAATAAATCAATTCTGTAAAGATTATTAATTAGGAAAATGATTTGGGTATAGATGGGCTTATTTGAATATGTAGTTATTTGCTGTAAGGGAGTGAAATCCAGTACCTCTCTTATTTACATCTTATAATTTAAGATGATTATATTTGGATATGGGATTATAATAGAAACTGAATAATTTCACGCTTTAACTTTACATAATTGAGTTGTATGCTGTCAGAGCTGCTCTGCCGTTTGAGTTATTTCCATCTCGTTCTGCAAGAAAATTTGCCCTGGATTAGGATTCAACCACATATCATTTTTTCTCCAGCCGTGCAGAAGTGACAGAGTGATGCAGGCGTTATCTGCTAAAGGACATCTGCTCACTCGGTTTACATAGCTTCCATCTGAGACCAGGAGGTTAATCTAATCATCAAACTGCACAAGAGGTCCAGCTTCCTGTTCAATCACTTCAGTAATGAGCAGCGAGGGCTGTGGCCTTCCTGGTTACACCATCCGCCGCATTTTGAGTAGATCCAATGATAAGATAGGTTTTCGTGTTTAAGTAAAGACAGCCAAGCTTCTAACATCTTTCCTTTATGACACAATTATAATTCATGGTAGAAAATGTACAAATGTATTGCTAAATTCTATTTAAAACTAATCCTTTTTTTAGAGCATACCATGAGCATTTTGTTTTTGTAATCAACTCAAATTATAATATTCTCATTTTATGCAAAAGTATTAATATTATTACTTCTTAAGTTCCTCACGTTATAAAAGATAAATAGACCATATTGCCCTGCCATGTTAGTATATTCTTAACACTAATATCAGTAAAACCTGGACTTAACCTTTATCTTTAATTTAACTTACCCTGTCATGTTGGAATTTCCCTTACCCTAAGCTCAGTGGGCTTATTACCTTAATAAAGGATCTATCAACCTTTTATAAATGGTTTAGATGCAGTTTATAAATTAATCACAAATGAATAAACAATATGTTAATCATTAATCAATGGTCTCTTTACCATAATAAATGGTTATTGTAACGTGTATCCAAATACCCTGTACTCCATTATCTAAAACAAAAATGCAATCAGCTGCCTTTGTAGCCCTTATCATGTCATATGACACAGACAACTTTTACTCCCTAAGGCTGGAAATCAGGGGCTGAATTACGATATAGGCAAAGAAGGCATCTACTGGGGGACCACTTTTAGCACAAGGGCCTCACCAACTAAGGGCCCTGATGGTTGCCCAACTCTCTAACAGCTCCTTTGACATACTGTATGTATTTTAAAATGAAAAAAAAAAAAAAAAAAAAAAAAAAAAAAACAGCAATTACAAACCATGACATAATACAAAATCAACTTGCTGGTGAAGATTCTTAGTCATCCAGACCATAGTCATTCCAAAGAAGTTAAAAAGCAATTCCCTGGACTTAGTTTCCAAGTTAAGAACAAAATCAACTTCTGCTTCCCAGGGGTGGGTGGGGCTAGATTGGGGGCCAGGGGTGTCCTCAGCCAGCCTTAGCCAATCATTGGCCACCTCTATGCCCACCCCCTACCAGCTGATGTAGCCATAATTTACAAGTAGTTCCCATTCAAACATAGGGTGACAACAGTGATACTCTTATATGGAATGTTCTATCTAATTCTACTTTTTAATTTTTTGTATATCAATATCAAACTGAAAACAATATTACAGTAGTTAATCACTCTAAGTACTATGCTTACATTAAAGATGATAAATACAGAACTTGTGATCTTTTAGACGTTTTTTTTCCTGTTTTATTGGAGAGAAGGGATAGTTATTTGTGTCTGCAATCATCTAAGAGTCTTCAATATGATTTTAGATAATTAACAACTAAATCAATTTAACATGGTATAAGTTTATGTAAAAATCTATTCTATTTTAAACTAGTATTGATAAAAGTATGGTGGACCTTTTTTTCTGAAATGCAGGTAAGAAATGACAATAAATAAATGTCCACCAGAACTCAATGCTGAAAGATAACTATAACCATACCTTTAATTTAGACAGCATGGGTGTGTAAATATATGTGTTTATTTATTAGCATAAGGCTTTAGGAAAATAGAGTTCATTTTTATTCAGAAAATACATTGTGGTGCTTTTTCATTTTTCTGTTGGAACAGTGTAGGTTGACCCTGAGGTTCTGGCGCCTATCTGCTTTTGGCCACACCTCGGTGCACATTGGTCTCTACCACGGAGTATTAGGGCCAGGTTAGAGATTTATTTTTTATTTTTTTTTTATTTTGAGAATAAATTTGTAACATTAAGAGAATAAAGTTGTAATATTACGAGAATAAAATCCTAGCATTATGAGAATGAAGTTGTAATATTACGAGAATACGAGTTCAACAACCTGTTTCAGAAAGAAAGCTTCAAGCGCATATGACGGCCGACCAGCTCCCCCAAACAACAACCACTTTGTCGTCCACTTTGACATACTGCCCAATTTGATGCTGGTGTGGCAAAAGGTTTTCCTATTTGTCGAACCAGAGCCAAAGTATAACTTGACATAATGCTCTACATAAAAAAAAATGCTCTGGCTAGGCTGCTGCTTTCCCATACACTGTATTGATTTTTATCATCATGTAAAACTGCCAGAGATCCAGTGTGCTGCTCATGTGAGCAGTGGGAGAAATTAGAAAAGAGAAAGATGAAGCAAAGCAGAAAGGCGGTATAAGTGAGAGAATCTTTTTTTTATTGGTATGATACCAAAATTGTCTGAAACCCTTCTATGTTTTCTGAATAACCATAGACCTCATGGAAAAAGTAGCAATACTGTTCACTTGAGGGGGTTTTCATACATGTAGTTATATAATCACAACCAGCTACACTATAACCAGGCTAAAGAGAGGTGATAAGATTGGTATTTGTTTAATATGGCACCATCCCATGAACTATCTGCACAGAGACTGGCAGTTTGTCTGTCCTTTAATGGCCAGCATGGCTGTTTAGGTCATGGCTGTCAGCTTGCCTCATTCGTTCAACTAAGAACCTCCAAAAAGGCTCCAACTGGGGGACAAGGCAAGCAGAAAGTTGGAGCCTGGAATGATTAAACCTGAATACTGACGTAGAGCGGGACAACTGTAACTGTAACTGATTTTCTACCAACCCAGCATGGCAAGATGTGGCGTTTTACTCTAATAAGCATCACAATTATGAGGAACAGAGAGCAGATGGACTTTCACCTGAGCTAGAGTTACTTAGTAGCTCTAGTTTTGAAATAAATGTGTGTATATTAACTGCAACTAACGGTTATTTTTCAAATGGATTAATCTGTCAATTATTTTTTCGATGAATCGACTAATAATCAGATACACAAAGATTCCTGAAAGAAGACTTTACGGCACTAAACCAGATGAAACTCAAACTTTTCCACTTCAGGAGCTCCAGAAATAGAATATAATAGAATATTTAATCTTACATGCAAAATATTTATTTATTTATTTTTACAATCTTGGTATAATTACTGTTCTAAGTGGGTAGCTCTATCAGCTAAAGGCACGTGTTACAGTCTATACTCCAGTAAACGATTAATTGATTACTAAAATAGTGGAGGATTATTTCAATAATCGATTAATTAATCACAATTAATTTGATTAGTTGTTTCAGCGCTAGTGTATATATATATATATATATATATATATATATATATATATATATATATATATATATATATATATATATATATATATATATACAGTTATTTCTATTTGGGGGCATATAGTATAACAGTGGAATACTCCATCAGATAGAACTGTGTTGCCAGTAAAACAGGGTTAAATGCTATTAAATGTGATATGCCACTTATATTCCAGGAAAATTTCAGTTGCCAGTATATGTCTGTTGTCTGCAACCGTAAAAGGAAATGCAGAGCTCTGCATTCGATTAAGTTATCTTGAATACTTTTGCTAGGCTAATCCTTAGCAGATCTCTAATATCAACTCCTTACTGTAATATTGATATAAGGCTGCTGCTTGTGAAGAACACTCATTCATACTCAAAGACACAACTAAGGTAAAGATTTGGTGGTATTAATATTTAGCCTTTTTGTCTGACACATACATAGATACTATGTTACAACCTTATACATCAACATTTAAGATATGCATGTTCAACAATGTATCTTGGCATTAAAACCAGAATATTAGATTTAGCTCCTATGGAAGGCATTTGATGAAATTTGCATGCAACTTTCAAAACTGGCATCCCGGTTTCAAAGGTGGCATAAGTTCGCCATAAAAATGGCATGCCAGTTTTAAAAGTAATTAGCCTGTGGCATGCGACGTTGTTAAAAGTGGCACACCAGATGGTAAGTGCTGCTGCTTTCTATTTGTGTAGCAGATCGGCTCAGCAGTGTCAGCATATATCACACTGCAATTCTGAAATCTGATAAGGTGATCTACAGTAACATTTGAGGATTATATAAACTGAAATTAAATTTCCTCATGGATTATAATTGGAATGAGGGATCACATATTTTCATAGCAAATGTTTTTTTTTATACATCATAACATTTGTGTGAATGCCAGTGTATGCAAATTTCAAGCCCAGTTTTGTGAGTAGTCAAGTATTATAAATAAAGACCCTGGTCACAACTATACGGTAGTTGGCCCTATGCAGTGGTGTGAAGTATAAGTGCAGCTATAGTAATAACATTTTATTATGTAATCAAATTTTTTATTACTTTCTTATTTTTATATAAGCAAAAGAAAGTCCCTTTAGTGCATGTATGTAACTGAAAATAGGCAATATTTTTAAACTTTTTATAAATAAAGATGCTCCACTTTTAAAAAAAGATGCAGAAAAAAAAAAATGCATCAACATACCAAGATTCAGTTTATTTATATGAGCACCAGTTCACATGGCATATGATAGTTTTAATCTTTGGGAGGTATGTGTTTCTTCAGTGGAATCTACTGTAAAGTTTAAATCGTATTTTTTGGCTGCTGTCTTTGTGGTTCTCTGCAGTTCATTTAACCAATTTCAGCATCTTTCTCAGTCACACCAAACCCTCTGCATCCTTCCATACTCCTGTAAAAATTCTATGTACTTTTACTCCTCTTAAGAACCTGGTACCTCTGATCATCTAATCTTCATACTGTAACATCGTCTATTCAAAATACTCAGTTCCAGATAATAGTTATCTTATACAGTTGAATCACTGACTACAAACCAATTTAAAATATGTTCACAAGTACACAATAAAACTAACATTATATGCAAGTATTTGTTCGTAGATTTACATGGTCATAGTTAAAAAAACAACATATATTTTCTCCACCTATTAATTCCTACATGCAGTTTTGGAATGCGCACATGGTTCGTGCCAATGATGCTATTTTTATCTTTAGATGACACACAATTACATTATTAAAACCCAAACAAACATTAAAATGTTATAGTGAAAATGAAAATAGTTTTTCAATAAACGTTAAAACCTTTTTGCTCGCTTAGGTCCCAATAACCACACTATACCATATGCCACTCTATGAACTGTGTAGCTATATAGGTGCATGGGGAGTATAGCGTGAGCAGGTTACACATACACAAAATTGGTGAATTGAATAATTAGTCGTTACACTCAAAGTCACACTTTTAATCACCAACAAAAACTCTGCTGACTGTTGGGAGGACTTATTCCTTAGCATTAATGGCATTGTTATTAACAATTAAAACACCTTAAACAACCATGACTTTAAACTAGAGAAACAATCAAGAGGCCCATAATAACTCTGGAGGGGCTGCAGAGGTGCACCTTTTAGGAGAGATTATTTGACCATTGGGCAGCTATCAGTTGTCTGCTTCACAAATCTCCTTTTTTGGAGGACTGTAGATATTGCTTTGTTCTTTAAAGAAAATACTTTGCAGTTTGCATGAATCTGCTTGGCTAATAGGAATCAGGCAACATGTAAATGAAAAATTTGGTAAAATGTGACCAAAATTTTCAGAAGATTAGCCCAGATTTTAAACATCTTTTCCAGGACATAGCTGTTGCATGATCATGTTTACTTTAGGGTTTTCTTCAATAGGACAGGGAAGTTGGTCAGAGGTGATGGAAAGAGTATCTAAATATAGAGCAGTCCCAGGAGAAGACCTACAAGGAGCTTAGAAAAGACTTTAGATTGGATCTGTGGTTCACCTTCCAGCAGAACAATAGTTCTAAATATACACCCAGAGCTACAGTGTTGCTTCATGTGATGAAATGATGTGTATCTAATTCATACTGAGAACCTGTGGGAACACTTGGAAATTGATGTGGACAGCCATGCACAAAAAAAACAAACATTAAATAAATAGAGAAGTCAATTATTTTGATGGGTGACATGAGAAGACAAACACCTAGAGAGGTGCAGGTTTAAATACAGCAAAAGGAGATGCTTTAAACTATCAACCTAGAGGGATAACTGCATCAAGCTTTGTTGTATCGCTTTATCCTCCACTTCACAGTTATGCAATACTTTGTATATAGGTAAACAAAAATATTAAAGTTTGTAGTTATAATACGGCAAACTATTTAAAAAAAATCAATCATTGTTATTTTCCTAATTATCCTGATTAATCAGATTGTTCCCTTCCTGTATACCGAAATCAAATTATTGATGTTTAGTACCCTTCAGATAATTTTTTTCTTACCAACAATAAAAAAAACTACTTTTATTTTGACTTAAGAGCGCTTTCTTTATGTAACAAACTTTACAACATATTATTAATTCAAAAAATCATTGTAAATCTTCTTTCTTAATGGCCAAATAATTTCTGTTGTTGAACAAGTCGTTTTTTTACAGTGTACAGTCCTTTTTTACAGTGTAGAGAAAGAAGAAACTAATGTTTCTCGCAGATCTTATTTCCCTGAAAGATAACGAAACGTTGGAAATAAGGACACAGCCTTTTAACTGATCAAGAAACAAACTTGTATAAGTTTTCAGTTTTATATTCACCTTTGTTAAACCTACTGGGCAGGAATAGCTGATCTAAAGTAGCATCAAAGACTTTACTGAACTCTTTCCCTCAGCTTTACCACCACAGATCGATAGATGCTCCTCATTTCATTAAGCCTCACTGTGCTAAGCCTTTAAAACCTGCTCTCATAAAGATTGGATCAAGAAACTGTAATTTGTTGCAAGTTAATGATCGATAGCTTGGTTGTTCTTTTTAATTTAAGGGTATCCATTCTAAAGTGAGCACAAAGTTGCTGTGGCAGCATGGTAATTAATGTTCAGCTGCTTTGTTTTCGGAATAAACAAGACGTGCTTGCTGCCAAAGACTGCTCAGTTTGTCCTTTAAGCACTCAAATGCTGGATGCCGTATGGATCTACAAAGGGAGGAGAGCCTTTTCTACTGTATATCATAATGGAAATGCCTAGAGACAAAGACCTTGAAGATGTAGCCATGCAGTGCTGTCATATTGGCTGGGCCACTGGCCAACAGATGGAAGATTAATCTCCAGAAAGGCAAATGGAAGAAGAATTCGGCAAGCTTGGAGCTTATCTCAGCATTTGCAAAATAAAAATGTGTATGTTTCTCATAAAAAGGATTTAAGAGGCTTTAGGGTATCATGTTTAATCAACATAATGTTTTGTGTAACTTTCCTAAAGACTGATAATAAATGAATGATGATTGTTTTAGTTAAGAAAAAATATAATTACCTGATAGAAATGAAATAGTATGATCCACCTGGATTTATTGAATTTTTCTTCTCCTCTCTGTCCTTGTAATACTTGATCGTCATACCCTTTGAAATGCCAGCACACACACACTGATACACTCTAATACGAGCACACACTCTGCTGCCGTGAGCGAACTCCTCGGCTAATAACTGATGATTATCTGTCTCCTCTGTGTCTCCTTTCTGTTCCAGGAGCACTTCCTGGAGGTTATTCAGAACCAGGAGTTCCTGCTGCTCCCCACAGCGGAGATTGTTAAGCTACTCTCCAGTGATGACATCAACGTTCCAGATGAAGAAACAATTTTTCAGGCTTTGATGATGTGGGTGAGATTTGATGTCCAACATCGACAGCAGGACCTTGGAGTGTTACTGGCTTACATCCGCCTGCCTCTTCTTCCTCCACAGGTGAGAGGAAAGAGGAAATTATTATTGTAAGGACAGTGTCTTTTTACTCTGTTCCTCTAGTTAACTTTCTAAGTTTGAACTAAAAGTGAGTTTTTTTTCACTCTCCGTATAATTGCTTTATTGCTCCCGTAATCTGTCAGACACAAATGACCCTGATGTTATGATGATCTTAAGTACCAATACAAAACATTTGGCTTCCTCTCATTTTATTAACATAAATATTTAAAACACATATTAAGCAGTTTTTAACTGCACATTTTGTAAATTGTTATTTATTTTTTTCTTTTGTTTGTAAAACTAACAAGAAATATGACAGGCTGATTATTTAATCAGGCTCTATGCTCCATTAGCCAGCCAAGTATGACCCAACTGTGCAACAAGACGTTTGATTTGGAAATACTCAGTACTTCCAGTAGTTCCAGGGGCAGTTAATAATAGAAATAGAGGTGCAAATGTATTCTCGAATAGCAAGCATTAGACATAACCAGAATAAACACAAGTAACTACTCTCTACAAAACAAGAATTTATTAATAAAACACTCCAACTTCCAGTTAAAATACTTCATTTAAGAAGCTCTATGGCTCAGACCAGTAATTATAATGGGAATAGGCAAGGCAAGTGCTATGCATAAACAAAAAAATCAAAAAAGGAAAACACACATGGTGAAATATTTTGCTGTGGTATTTAAATAATTAACAGATAATAATATTTCAGAGGAAAAAAAAGCAAATTTTATAATAATCATAAAAAAAAATAATGGCTTTACAAAAAATGCTTAAATAGCACAACTAAAATAAACTATACAAATGAATGTGTAATCCTGGTTTAAGGCAGCTTAAAGATTTGTTTCTTTTACAGTCTTTTGGGAGTTTGTTTTAGGAGATTTATAGACTAAAACAGAGATTTTAAAGTCTATTCTCTAACACACGAGGAGCCTGTATAATGACTTCTGAGAAGGATGTGTTCCACTTTCTTAGTTTAAGTGAGGGTTCGGGCAGCAGCATTCTGTATCAACTGCAGATGTGTGATAATGATTTTGTTGAGGTAGACCTGTTAAGACACTGTTGCATTAATCAACTCTACTGAACATAAATGGCCTTGTTAAAATCAAAGTCAGCATACATTTAAATTTTTTCTCTCCACATTCTACCGATTAACCAGCGAGGTGGATCCTTCCACAGATTGCTAAATAATATAACAATGAGTAAGAATTCAAATGGACTGCTGTGATTATTTAAGTACCATTGAAACACCAGTGTGTAACATTGTGTGATGGATGCTTTAACTATGCTGGACACTTTTTAAATGGGAGAATAAGGAGGGAAGATGATTTTAGGGATCACCAAGAGTACCTGACCCATTATGATTATTAATTTATCAGACTTCCAATATTACTGCTCGTGGGTCTATGGTCTGAACGGGGTTCAATATTGGGGAAACCAATTGCTGGACCCATGCCATCCAAGGGAAGGACAGCTGGCCGCATGGTTCTAAAGAAACACTTAAATGTAAATAAGAAAACAGTTTGTAGGGATAGAAGTTTTAATCATGAATAGAGTATATACAATCTTTATTTTGGTAAAAAAAAAAATTGTAGATTCTTCATGCCTTAGTTTATTCAAAGATTTACAAATTTGACATTTGGAAACATCTAAATATAAGATGATGTAGACAAACTTGACCCTTTTTTGCCAATACTAAATCTTATGGATAGGTGGGCTGCTTTCCCATATTTTCAGAAAGAAATAAATCTAAGAAAAGTTAATAAAAATAAAACAGAAGTATAATTTGCTAGGACCAAAATTGTTGGAAATCAGACAAAGTCAAACTTTTCTTGTTAGGACAGTCACTAAAGGCATCTTTTTGACTCTTATCATTTCTTTATGGCATGTTCAGAGCTATAGACTACAGGCAAAATATAGTTAGAACCCAAGTTCACTATAGACGCATAAGAAATAGAGCACAACAAGGTTACTTTAGCTAGCTTGAACAAAAAGCCTTTTAAAAAAACGAAAAGCTAAACTTATTCTAAGTATACAGGGTGGCTACTTTCTAGACCAAAAAATGTATAAATGTCTGCAAGATAGCCTAAAAGAATGTATACATCTGACTTCTAATTCTTAAACCAACATTAAACAAGTAACTCAGTTTCTACAAACTGTTTGAGAATTCTTCAAAACTGAATGTGGTTTTTGTGATTTAATTGTAAGGAAAAATAATACGTTTGCTGCAAAGATTTTTAATTAAAATGATCAGATGTTTTTTCTTTTACCATAAATAAGGGTGTTCTTTTCATTCCAGCTTCTTGCAGATCTGGAAAACAACAAGATGTTCTCTGATGATCTGGAATGTCAAAAGTTGCTGATGGAAGCCATGAAATACCATTTACTGCCTGAGCGACGGCCCATGTTTCAGAGCCCGAGAACTAAACCTAGGAAGTCCACTGTAGGGGCACTTTATGCAGTGGGGGGGATGGATGCTACCAAAGGTATACAAACACTCATTCACACCCCGTATCAGCTGTCAGAATAGAAAAAAAACTAAACAGATAGGTTGTTTAATGGGTTTTTTTTCTTCTTTTTTTACTCCAACTTTTTTGCAGGATCCACCACTATTGAAAAGTATGACCTGCGAACAAACACCTGGGTCCAAGTTGGAGTAATGAACGGGCGTCGACTACAGTTTGGGGTTGCGGTGATTGACAACAAGCTCTATGTAGTTGGAGGAAGAGATGGACTCAAGACGTCCAACATGGTGGAATGCTATAATCCTATTAGCAAAGTTTGGTCAACTATGCCCCCGATGTCGACACACAGGCACGGGCTTGGTAAGTATTGTTTAAATCCAAAGAGAGTACAGATGATCTATAAATTATCCCATATAGATCTATATATATCTAGATGGCGTAAGTTAGGAGAGAAAACCTGTCTGCGGGAAAGTTGTTCAGCATCTAATTAAGTATTCCATCTCATCTTGGTCCATGTTTATTATTTTAACACTGTACTTGAGGTTTTGCATCATTAATAACTGCTGGATGAAGTTAAGAAGGGTCACAAATAGCACGCTGTTAAAAAAAAAAATAATTCCCCCATTCCCCCCAGACCTTTGATATTTTGCAGTGCTCCTATCAAAGCTCAGCAAGCTGTACTGACCCAGCTCTGCCTTATCATTTCATGCCCAACACATCTCATATCAGAAGCGCTTGGATTTACAGTTGAAACAGTTCCTGCTCACAGAACAGAGAGATCTTGTCAAAGCATTCAGCTCACTCACCCAGTGAGGTAGGGTGGTAGGAAGTATCAGCTAGCCCAGGTAGCGATTACTGATGCTGTCTTTGATCTTTCCTGAGGCTAAATGTTTCTTGTTGCTATACTTATTTTATTTTGCATATTTTAAACCTGAATATATTGTAACCCTTCGGCTTTAAGCACCCCTGCATGGCTGCTCCCCATAAGATAGAGTTTGGGTTTTTACATTGCAAAGCCTTTAGTTGTTTGGAAATTGGACCTTTATAGTAAGAATATCATTACACAACCTCTCTAAATGGGCCTGGACCCTAATGTTGTCTGAAACTATCAAACTCTCACCAAAGGAAATAGAGGTTGCTCAATAAAAAAGTTCTTTGTGTTAAAAAAAACAAACACATTGTTGCTATTGAAAAGCACTTTCCTCTTTAAGACTGGATTGAGAAATAACAATGCTGTTTTATAGTCTTCCTGTTTTTGTAAAGATTTTTTCTCCTGCATGCCTCAGCCTGCTTAAAAATTATAAAAGTATCTCTGTGGGACTTTAGTCAGGAACTCCTGGAAACTAATTTTTTTATTATTGATGATATTGTGCTTCAGTAATGCACACATAAAAAACTAGGTTTTAGTTTTAATCAATGATGAAGAGTTGAATAACCTGCATGATTAAGATTAATTTTTTAATAAAAATCACAGACTTTATTCTTATATTATCAGCATAACAAATCCATCCACCCATCATCTGACATGCTTATAGTATCCCAAGTGGGATCACGACGGGTGCTGGTGCCTGTCTCCAGCAGTCAATGGGCAAGAGGCGGGGTACACCCTTAACCAGCAAGGTGCAAGAGGCAGGGTACACCCTGGACAGGTCACCAGTCCATTGCAGGGCAACACAGAGACAAACAACCATTCACACACACACCTAAGGAGAATTTAGACAAGTCAATTAACCTAACAGTCCTGTTTTTGGACTGTGGGAGGAAGCCGGAGTACCTGGAGAGAACCCATGCATGCTCAGAGAACATGCAAACTCCATGCAGAAAGACAGGAGGGCCAAGAATCGAACCCAGAACCTTCTTGCTGCAAGGCAGCAGTGCTCCACTGAGCAGCCCAGCATAACTAATCATCGGAGATGGGAAGTAATGAAGTACAAATACTTCGCTACTGTACTCAAGTAGATTTTTCTGATATTTTGACTTTACTACTTCTACTCCTTACATTTTTACACAAATATCTGTACTTTCTACTCCTTACATTTTAAAAAATTGGCTCGTTACTTTAGTTTTGAATCATTTCAATGGAGTTACCGTTATTATTTTTCACGTCATCAATACCAAATTCAATCTAATTGAATGGGAATCTACGTTGCATTTGACGCACCACTACAAAATGTATCGACTGATTCGGTGGTATTCATTCACGGCAAATCATTGCAGCTTGGTGGCGGTGGCGTTAGCATAGTAGTATGGACGAGGAGATGATTGAAAATGAACACAACGGAGATCTAGTCCTATTGGCATACATCTAATTTTATCCAAAATACATTTGAAACACACACAATGAACTGTATCAAAGTTATAAAAAATTCCCTCAAGGATAAATTTGTTAAATCTCTCCTGCTTACAAAAAGACTTGATTCAAACCTTTTATTTAGTATTCATAGTTATTCAAGAAACAAAGAATGATGCACCATTTAATAGAAGACTACAAAATAAAATCTCTATAACATGAAAAAGTTTTGAATAAATAGAACTGTTATAAATAAACTAATCTTCAATCTTTACAGATTATCTGAACATAAAATATACACAACATACATTGACTGTCATTTTGAGGGAAATATTCCCCAAAAGACAACTCCAACTTTTATAAATCACAGCCAATTAAGCCATTAAAAAATATCTAAAGACAATAAGTCTCTCAAAGCACAAAAATAAATGTATTTTATTTTATTGTAAATTTGTATGCTAAGCTTTGGAACCACGAGGAAGGAGTTTTCTACCTTTTGAGAAAAAAAATCTGCTTGGCTAAAAAGAGGGCTTACATGTAAAAAACTGATCTAAAAATAGATCATATTTATTGCTTACTACAAACAATGCATTGTTCACAGCCACATGATAATTAGGGTGTGAAACGAATCACATCTGGCCTCTCTAAAATGAAAAATATTCAATTACGTATGTTTTCATTGCTCAAAACTAGCATCCAATTTTGATAAGGGGAAACCCCTCATAAAAATGTCATAATACTATATTATTATATTATATTATTATAAAATTTTTTACATTACCCCTTATATATATATATATATATATATATATATATATATATATATATATATATATATATATATATATATATATATATATATATATATAGAGAGAGAGAGAGAGAGAGAGAGAGAGAGAGAGAGAGAGATTCAAGCATTATTTTGACACTTTTTACAAATTACTAAACTTTATTTCTGCGACATCATTAAAGCTCATGTTTGAAATTAGCATTAGCTTTTTATATTTTCCATTTGTATGTCCATGTTGTTTTTTTCAACATAACTCTTAAAATTGAAACACTTGCCGGCAGTGTTTTGAGCTCTTCCTTAATGTTTAAATTACTTCAGTGGGACAATTTGGTAAAATTAAAAGAGTAATTAAATCTCAGTTTTGAAAACATTTTGTCATTTTGGCTTTATGGAGTTTTGAGCGAGCCACTCCACACACTTTTTACTGTTTTAACTTCAAATAATCCAATAAGACCAGTTGAAGTGGACAGAAAGGCAAATCTTCTTCAGATATGAAAGGTCTAAATTAAAATGTGTTGCTCATATTTTTTGAGTATAAAGTGCTGCCAACTTATGATAGCATTGGAAGTGAAATAAAGATATAAAGTTGCTCAAAATTATATTACAGTGGACAATTTCCTTCACATTCACTTAATAGTTCCTATTTTATAAATGTATAATGTCTCTGGTTTTACTTAGGCATAGCCGTACTTGAAGGTCCCATGTATGCAGTAGGAGGCCATGATGGGTGGAGCTATCTCAACACAGTGGAGCGTTGGGATCCACAGGCCAGGCAGTGGAACTATGTTGCCAGCATGTCGACTCCACGAAGTACCATGGGAGTAACAGCGCTCAATGGAAAGTATGTTGTGCTTCACTATTTTCACCTCCCCCTTTCCAACAATTTTTGGTTTTTTTAGTTTCTTTTCTTTTACTTTGAATTTTACAGGATATTTTATAACAATGTCCTGCAATCAAAGTTTACAATGATTTATCATCATAGCAATACCTCTGTGGCCCTTTTCATATGCACTAAAATAACATTCCTGTGCAGATACTGTATACCTATTTAATTGTGCACTCTATGCAATTGAATTTTGCTTGCCAAATATCCCAGCATGCTTTGTTTTGGGGAAAAGAAGACAAATTACCCAAAAACCAAAGGGTTTAATAGCTGAACTTGCATTAGTCCAAAAACAAAAGATATTAGGACTCAATGAGTTTCTTTGTGGTTGAAGTGAGGTATCCCACCAGCTTATGCTGTTCTAATAAAGGGTATTGCATACTTTCAAATAGACTGTAGAAGCATTGGAAAAAATCTATCTTTAAAATAAAAATGAAGCTGCATTGAAAATAGTTTCAATACACACATCCGCTAAAAAACCCAAGATATATACGCTCATCCTTAATCACTATTCAGTGTCAAAGTTATTTTAGCAGTTTTGTCAAAAATAGATAGCAGGAAACAGCTTCAGTAACATCTATGCTCTTGTGATAGGGCTGTGAATAATGGCAAACACTGATGTAATCTTTCTAAAGAAGAACACTCTGAGAGAATCAGCCTTGGACTAAGAAAAAGAAAAAACTATGTTTTACATTTCTATCAATCTGTTATGTGTCTCACTTATCAAAGCTTCTTCGAACACATTTTGGAGAACCATATGTCAGTGTTGTAATGCTTTTCCTCAGGCTGTTTGCTGTTGGTGGGCGAGATGGCAGCTCGTGCTTGAGGTCGATGGAGTGTTTTGATCCACACACCAACAAATGGAGCATGTGTGCACCAATGTCCAAGAGGAGAGGAGGTGTGGGAGTAGCCATGTACAACAACTTCCTGTATGCTGTGGGTGGACATGACGCCCCCGCTTCCAACCACTGTTCCAGACTCTCTGACTGTGTTGAGAGGTCAGTGAATGCTTTAGAAACACAATGCTGTTGTTTGATATTTAGTCCTACCTCATCAAAATAGAGGGAAGCTGCCATTGATCCCCACCCTGTTCCTGCATTTTGTTTAAGACATGGTTGCAAATGTATGCATATGTGGACATCAGATTTCACATATGGTTCATTCTGTGGAGTTTGGCTCCCTCTAGAGGCCGAAATGCTCAATCAAAATACCTGATGGAATATCGGAGCATATTTAACATTGATACATGATACATATAATCCTTTGATTTTTTTTTTAATCTGCTGAAGATATTTCAAACGAATCTCCTGAGTTTATTAAAAATTATATATATATATTTTTTAGTCAAGTCATATAATTGGTTAGAAATTCATTGTGACATTTTTATGAAAAAGTGAAATACCTGTTTTCCTCCTAATGCCAACAATATTCCACAACTGACCTCCAAGAAAAGACGAAAATCTAAATTTTAACACTTCTTTTTAATGTTAATTAATAGTTATAATAAACTTGAAAATTGTGGTAAAAGAGTCTATAGTTGTCCATATTATGTTTATCACCATTCTTGATTAAAAGGGATTCCCTTTTGCTGTCATCTGGAAAGATTCCATATGAATCGAAATATCAAATATATCAGCCAGAGGCTTAGCAATCAGATCAATAACTTTTTTGATGATTTCCATGTCTATACGATTTATATCAGTTGATCTTATTGATTTTTACCAATCTGAATATGATCTTCCTGTCACCCCTTCAGACGTCTATCTATTTATCTGTTTTTCCAGAGATTTAAGCTGAAAGGGCAGATAACTCAGATAATCTCAACTGACTGCATTTTCCAATTACAGATATGATCCAAAGACGGACACATGGACCACTGTGTCCTCTCTCAGCGTCCCCCGAGATGCAGTAGGAGTGTGCTTGCTGGGTGACCGGCTCTATGCAGTTGGCGGGTATGACGGCCAGTCATATCTCAAAACTGTTGAGTCCTACGATGCACAAAACAACGAGTGGACAGAGGTAATGGCAGCCATTCATCATAAATCATTGTAGTTTATGAAGAGCGTCCTAATGATTATTATTCTACAGTTTAGCTTTAGCTTTTATTCAGGACTCTTTTCTGTATGTGCTGCTCTTTATGGTTTATGTCATATTGACTTTGGATAATTTGGTCTATAATTTTTTAATATTTTACACTGTATCTCCTCTTACCTTCAAAACACAATTACTGTTATTTGCTTATAAACAGGTTTTATGTACTTTATTTTCTATCTTTATATCTTTGTCTTTAATTTTCTTATTACTTCCTTTATTTTGCCTTCACAGACTTTTTTTGTATTTCTCACTATGTTTGAAAATTGTCATAAGATTCAGCATGGAAGGGGCAGTGCAGTAATCTCTTAATTCGATTATATATACTTGTACTAAATGTACTCTCGGTTTTTTAAGGTGGCCCATACTGATTATAGATATGAACATGATTAATGATCAGTGGAGGGAGCTTAATATTAGGCTGATCAAAAGGAAGGCTTCTGGCAGCTTACCTATAAATGTAAGATAAAGGTCAAAATACCTGTGAAAACATCAACAAAAGCTCAGCACTTGTAATAAAAAAGGCTTAATTGCTTTGGTTTTCTATTAGATATTGAAGAAGGGATCAAGAATGTTCAGTATGCCATTTTTAGAATTATAACAGCTAACAACTTTAAGAATGAACCCTTTTTCACTTTATGGCATTAAACTTTTCATCAAAACCTGTGCATACAATGGTATTAAATATGAGTCACTGCATACTTTTTATAGTGATAATTTAATTTCTACTTTAAATACCAAAGAAACACTTTATTATGCTTAAAACTTGATTCAAATGTAACTATGCAGATATAAATACTATAAAGTATCAAAAAAGTGGGCACACCTTCACATTTTTCTTCCAATTTAAATTATCTATGGTATTGCTTATGTAGGGTAGTTAGTTGGTCAGCATGTCAGTGCTCAGACCATATGCCACACACTGCATCAGATTGGTCTGAAGAGCTGTCCTTAGTGAAGGAAGCTCCATTAAAAAAAAAAAAAGAAATGAAAAGAAATCCTCAAAACTATTTGCTGAAGACATGCAGACTGAGGACCTGGTTTACTGAAACCATGACCTGGTGAGATCAATATAAACCCTGCTAGCTTTGGGGAGCAACAATTCATTTACAATAAATGAAGTTAGGGGACAACCTGTGAAGCTTTATTGAATTCCACACCTAAGAGACTAGTCTAGGAAATCAGTGGGGGTTACACTAAATATTCACTCCGAGCAATTTAGAAATTTACTAAGAAAGTACCCAAAAAATTGTACTTAATTAACATAAGTACTACACTTGAAAAAATGTAAAGTCATTTTTTCTTTAAAAAAGTGCATTTTTTCTTGTATTGAGGAAGCAAGTAAGACAATTTGCCAATGGAACAAGATGATTTCAATTTAAAATAGGAAAAAACAATTACATTGTCTTGTTTCAAATGGATATTATCTAATTACCTTATTTTAAGAGAGAAAATACTCATTCCATTGGCGAACTATCTCATTTACCAACTTAAATTAAGGGTAAATACACTTTTTTTTTTTTTTACAATTTATTACAAACAATTCTACAATTTTTTTTTACATATTTCTAGATCCTTTTTCCAGTGTACTTCATCATAATCTATTTGTTAAGAAGGCTACTCGAGTACTGAGGGACTGATCTACTTACTAGCCATGGTCACGACAGCTGATTTAATATTTTGCAAAATGATGTAGAACTGAAGAAAAAATGAAGGGATATGCAAATTATGAGGTTTCAAAAAATAAGATAAAAATAACTTTATAATATATAGTAATTACAAAAATGAGATAGAAAAAACACTCTTCAAAATATTTTTTAGCAGATTCAGCAGATGGAAAATAACATTTATCCAATAAGGCTTAAGTAAAAAAAAAAATAACAGTGTGTCCCTCTAAGGTTACTATGTTTTTTAAACATGCCCGTGCAGTGAAAGTTAAGAGAAGTTAGAAAAATCCAGAAGTTTTACTCATATAGGAGTTGAGTTTTTATTCAAGTAAAGGTAAAAAGTAAAATGCTGCTAGACCACTCCTAAACTTTTTTTCCCAAACAGTCATTTGAGTAAATGTAACTGTTTAAATGTAGCTGAATAGATGTACCTGGATTAAATGTAACTATTTCCTACCCTCCTCTTTTATTGTTGTTAGTAATTTAGATATTAATATGTTGAGTTGATTTAAGGTGATAGCAAATAAACTGTTATACAAGCCGTACACTGACTACTTCACATTATGTAAAGGGGTTGCCATTTCATTGGCAACCCAAGAGAAGACATTATATTTTTTTATACAAATATGAAGGGTGTTTTTACTGTTGTGAGTTTCTGTATGTTTTGTTTAGAAGTCATTTTATAACTGATCATTATAAAAATGTCTCATCACCTATATTACAATAGGTATGTTTTCTCTTATCTAAAAACCACTTCATTTTTAAGTATAGAAATTTCTAACTTATATCATAGGTTTTGAAATGGTTAATAGGGAAAAACAATCACAAAAGCTAATGCTAGGGTGCATAATGAGAACTTTAAATGACTCAACTTGAATAGTGTGCACTGCAGTCATTAAGTAAGATTAAGCTTTGGTTAAAATCCTGATTTTTTTCCACTGAAACACATGAATATTTCATATTTTTCACTTGGTTATTTTTTTCTCTCTTTTTGAATGTTATTTTTTTCCAGCCTTGGCAGCCAAACCTTCATCTCTGCAACAAATGAAACAGGAGTTTTTGAAAGGAGAATGATGAAAAGCTGCGTGTTAACCTCTCTGTCTTCCTGTAGGAGGTCCCCCTTAACATCGGAAGGGCAGGCGCCTGCGTGGTGGTGGTGAAGCTGCCGTGAGGATCTCAGTTCACAACAACACAGAGAGGCCTAAATGAAAGAGCGGCAAAGTGGAGTGGACAAACAAAGCAGCAGATTGAGGACACATCCTTTGAGGGATGAATTATCACATTTTTTTTTTTCTTTAACTTGGCCGTCCAGATCTTTCATTGGGAAACACAGGCAAAGGCTTTTCCATAAACCATTGTTTCCGTCATTAGTTTTGTCTGCCCAGTGGAAAGGACTAGAAGGATTGCGATGGCCAGCACATTCCCCACATTCTCAACCGATTAAGAACTTTGCCAAAAAACAAAGCGTACGGGCGCCAAGGCTTCTAAAAGCTGACTTGAATGTCCTCAAATTTTTAATGTAACATTGAACAAATGAATAAATTCTGTAAGTTTACAAATACACACAAGCATTTCTTATCCGTGCCATCTTAGACAGTATATTTTTAGGGGTTTATTATGTCCCTTTATAGCTGAGACAACTATTCTTACAGAGATTTAAGTATAAATTGGTGTTTTTTTACAAGATCAGTCTGAAGTGATTGTTTCTCCTTGGTGATGAAGACTACTGTGATTGAAACTGAAGGTGGAGAGGTTAGTACAGGAATGAAATGTATGTTATTTGCACCTGTAGCAACAGAACACCAAAGCCATTTATTTCTTTAAGACATTGTTTTGCTCATTAAATAAAGGTTTACAAATTTGTGAATCAAAAAAAAATATATCATATTGATATTTCATGTTTCTGTACAGATTTTTGTTTTAAAACTGCATTTGTGTTTGTAGATTCATGCCTAAAACAATGCTGTTTTTATTCATGAACCATTTAGCTGAGCTCTAAACATTTTCAGAATGATCTTTTTTTCTACAACTGCATTTGGATGTCTTGCTAAAAGAAACAAAATTGTTAGCCTGTTCACACTAAACTGTAACTGGAACTACAATTGTGACTAATTTTGGGGCCAAGTGCTATTTTTTTCATCTTTTGGACCTAATTTTGTACAGCATGATAGCCAATAAAATAACTTCGGTTTTCTTTGCATGAATTAGAAGTGTGGCCTCAGTACTGGAAGATTTTCCATGTTTTCTTGTTCGGCTTTTCATAAACAAATCTGAGTCCATAACTAAACAGACTTCGGCTCCAACTTTGACATCTGCATTAATCTGTTTTTGTCTTCGCTGCCACATTTTCTTCTTCAATCAAACAAGCATGTTTGGGGATATTTCTGTTTTATTCCTCTGTCAACAAATAAGAAGACCAAATGCTTCTACTTGCCTTTTTTGTTTACTTATTTACTTTTTAAAATGCTATTCCTCTCCAACTTCCCTCTCATTGTTTGGTAAGATCTGAATCGCTTTTACTGACAAAACAGTGGACTGTCTGTCCAAACATAAAGGTTTGAGTCATAATTCTCTGTTGTGTCTTAAACACACAAAACTCTTGACACATGTCAGTAAAACAGACCTTTTCCTCCTATATTTCTCTCTACTTCTGTTTGTCTATAGATTTATGTCAGAAAACCTATTTCTCATCAAAGAATTTATCATAAATAAAAAATGTCCACACACAGAATCAAACTTCAACCAATAAGTAATACCATCAAGATAAGTATTATGTAAAAATAAAATGATAATGTACATTCTTTAAACCTTAAATGGTCAATAGAAAAATATTTTTTGGCATTTTAAAATCTACACCTTTCTTCTAACTGCTGATCATTTCCAGTGGTGGATTTAGGAAATTTGGAGCCCTAGGCAAAGGCAGGCATGGGGCCCTCTGAATTGAGAAGACAACACATAAAACAGACCCATTATACAGAAATTTTAATAGAACAGACATACATCAGTTGTTCTACATTTTTGTCCCCCTCTTCTTGTCACTTCTCTGGTTCTTTTCCCTCTCTATGTTTTGTACACAGCTGACTTTTCATGCTGTCTCATAAGGAATGAAATATTTTTCCAAGCACTAAGCTCACATAGCCGATTGTTCCTTCCTGTGTTTCCAAAAAGGCGACTGGAAAAGTAAATAACGCAGTCCGTATTTTCACTGTAGACAAGCCATAGTCTGCTTATCTGTTCTCCATATTTCCTTTGGAGGAAATAATAGCAGCAAGAGAAGGAGGTGGAGTTACGAATGTACTTGCTTTGGAGAGCAGAGTTTGGTGTCTTTATATGTTGTCCCCAAAGCCTCCAGTAGCAGAAAAAAGTCACTAGATTTAGCACTAGGCGGGTTTTTTTTTATTTCAAATTGCTAGAGGGGTCTGAAAAGTCACTAAATATAGTGATAAAAGCGCTAAGTTGGCAACACTGCTCTCACTGTTTGTTTTCCAATGGTTTGCTGCTGTCTGTTTGGACCTTTCTGAACATGTGTAGCAAATGGACTGATCCAATTTGGTGGACACTGTAGGGGTGTGTGGGGTGGGGTTGGGGGATTGGTTGAAACACACTTGATATTATAAGGGTTCTGATGGCATTTTAGCAAAATTATTTTTTATCAAAAAGATAATTAATGTAAACAAATAAGGAATGGTGTTTTAACCATACATGAGTTTTATGAGGCCCCAGGGAACTTGGGGCCCTAGGCAACTGCCTAATATTGCCTAATAGTAAATCCCCCCCGATCATTCTTCATTAGTTTCTTACTGATATTTTAACAATGTCTCCTTGTCAATGATATCCAGATTTATGACGTTGGAAGGCTTCCACCTGATCCTTATCTTCTTCCACAAAATCTTTACCAGATTCATGCTGGTGCCTCTGAAACACAGATTTTCCTTACAGTTAGAAGAAACATGTTAGAAAATTAGATTTTTTTTATCATTAATATCTGTCAGAGGTGTAAAAAATGAGCATATCTGTAACCTAAATGTCTTTTCTGCAAAATCACCATAAACTTACATGTAATTGACAAGCAAAAAAGATGTGAATAACTTAACGGAACCTCACATGAGCCCTTTAAACAAAAAAACAAACAAAAATCCACATCGACATCATGTATATGTGAAGCAATGCCTTGAACCAACACGCATCAGTATTCCAAGACTGCAGCCTTCACAAGCGCTAGATGTCTTTCTAAAGACATTAATTTTTCCTGAGTTTTTGAGACAAATCCACTGTATGAGATTCCAATCAAAAAATCTATACTACATTTACTGCACAGGCAGGTGGCTGTACCATTCCTGAACATGTTGAGATCATCAGAAGTACATCAACAAGAGTCGGCCATATTAAAGTGAACATTGTTTCCAAATACCTGCAAATTTTGTGCTACTGATGACAGAGCCTTAATCTACAGCAAAGGATCCCTGAAAATGTCTTGCCCGTATAGATAATAAATAATAGAGATAACACCAAAAATGTATAATAGATCCTACAAAAAGCAGTAAAACAAAAAGTTGCAGTAACTTGTAATTTTCACATTTTTTATATGAATCAAGAAGAAAAATCAACTTTATTGTCATTACATTGTCACAAGTACAAAGCAACAAAATTCCCTCTACATTTAGCCTATCCCTTTGGGGAGCAGTGGGCTGCAACTTTGCTGCGCCCGGGGAGCAGTGTCGGGTTAAGGGATTTACTCAGAGACCTAAAGTGCAGGCTGTGGGGATTGAACCGGGTAGTGCAACCTTCTCAGAGAACAAGCACACTGCTCTTACCACTAGGCCAACGCTCCCTAGGCTAAGACCGTAGTGATTTGGAATCTTTCTTATAGAATCTGTTTAGGTATTTAGGGTGACATTTTTCTGTACAGAGAGGGGGTTTTGGGATAATTAAATTGGGGCTCTTTTTGATAAAAAAAAAGTAATAATAAGAGCAGAATTGCAGTCTAAAGCAGAACAATGTGCTTTTTGAAATGCAGACTTTTATTAATCCAAATAAGAAAGTTAATTTCTTTGTTTTTCAGTGTTATATTGTCCATTCTGTTTTATTTTTTTCACATATTATCTTTACTCGTCGTCTTATCTTTAGTTTTTCACTAAGCTAACAAATTACATAAAGTCAAACACAAACACTTCCTTTTTATCCTTTTTAAAAAAAAGCACATTTTAAGAAAATGTGAAATTAACTTCTGAGAAGATAGCATCTACAAAAGTGAAAAGATGATTTTATTTTGTAAAGAAGTTCCACAAAAATTTTGAGAAATATATAGTCAGAAAGATATTAACATTAAATCAAAATCTCATAACAAGGATACCTTTTGTCTGAAGCAATTGGAGGTGATCATATCATACATGATCAAGAGAGGGCGCTGTTGCACTGCAGTGGAAGCATTTACTTCTGTGTAAGGGAGATCAAAATCTCCAATATCATTACAGCTCATAAAAAATGTCAAACAGCATTAAGAATGCCAAGGACAAATACTTGAGCTAATAACCCTGCATAATTATGAAGACGTGATGATGAAATGTTGGGAAATTGGACGTTAAGACATTCCATTCTGTTACTTTTAAAAATGAGCATGGTGTTGAGGTTTTAGGGAAGCGTGAAGGCTGAACAAGATGGATTCTGCTCAGAGCCATGATTTGTCAGGTTTTTAAAAGGGTTTTGGCATCACAACATTTGAACAATGTCTCATTATTGTATGACAAAGCTTGACAGATTGTTGTATTTTTTTTTTTGGCTCGGCTGCTAGCCTCTTTGGGAATTTATTTTTCAACTAGAGGAGAAGCATTCCCTTGTATTTTATCATTTCTCTGACAGTGAACAGAGATGAAAAGCAATGGAAGGAAGATGTAACGGCACACCATGAATTGTAAATATTTTACTGTATTTGTCATTGGTTTTGAAAACAAAACATATGGTTCAGGTCTAAAGTATTATTGCATGAGTTGCATATTTGGAATTACTAGAGATAATAAAGAAAGGTGGCACAAAGATAGCATATTTCAGGCTCATATTCTGCATTTTACAACACATATTGAAGAAGTAAAAAAAATCACACTACATTTGTTATTTCTATTATTTGGAGTTTAGTTTTTGCTATGCTGTCAAAACACAGCCTCAGCATTCAAAACAAAGCAGCCAGAACACTCCTCAGTTAAGATGCCTGAAAAGTTTTTGCCAGGATTTCTATGGTTTGTTTGTCAAAACAGAACACTCCAAAAAAGAGTGAGAGTTTCAAACACAAAACAAGCATGCAAAAGCTTTTCACCACAGGAACTAAAGACAAGCGTCACAACAAACTGTCAACTGCATAAGATTCTCTTGTCATGCCTGCTTAACTAAGCCTTTTAACATGGCATATTTGACACCTTACAAAGGGGAACGACGGCAAGCTAAAACTTCTCTCTCTGGCAAATTGATTGTACTGCAACACTTTCCGTCAAGCGGCTGACTTCAGCAACATATTTAGTATATCAAGCAGTTATTCAGCTCATTTCCCAGGTGAGCTTTGAGTAAAAAAAAAATTCACCTGAACTAGAAAGCAGGTTTGCATGAGCAAACTTTGGCCTTCTGGTGACACTGAGTGCGATGGAGTGTTTAGCTGAGCTTTTATGTGTCCAACACTGATACAAAGAATGGCAGTTGCTTTTCCTGTTTGATCAAAGGCAGCAGACAAGTAGAGAACATTTCTCCCTCCATCCCTCCCCCTGGAACCCTTTCTCTGTCTAATCATAGTTGAATACATTGTCATCTCATTATCTTTGAAGAGGGGAAAGATCCCTCCCGTATGAGTGGGCACTGTGTCTCTTGCCCTCAGCCGGGCCCAAAAACTGGTGAAGCGCATTCTCGTCTCATTATGTTGAGTGAGAGATATCAGACACGTCCCATCTGCCCAACGCCCTCCACACACATGCTCTGGTACCGCCGCCATACAAGCTGGAACTGTTGATCTGTAGCTCTGTAACGCAGCAATGAGACCAAAAATCGAGGCGGGTTTGGACACTGAAGTTAACGACATTAGTGCTTGGTTAAATATCTCTGCCACAAGCAACAGTCCTTACTACAGACCTACCTTTGATTAGAGTAGTTCAAGCTCAACAAGAAAGCACAAAAAACCTTGACTATTTAACTCACTTGTTGAATTGTATAACATTGCTTAATAAGCAGAAATACATAAAACAGGGATATTCGGTCGATGACAGATCTTCTGTTTTTAAAAAGCTGCATGCATATACCGATTTTAGACAAAATGCAACTTCTCCTCATTAAATTTGATAAACAGAATACATTCTTTAGCCATCCTTTTATAAAGCAGTCATTATATATTACAGACATAATTAGTGTGGAATGTTGGAAAGCAGTTACTGTTAAACAGTGACTTATTATGATTGT